ACACACCCTTTTAAATGAAAGTAGGGGAGGTATTGGTTGAGAATTGAAGGCCTGAAAAAAATGGGAATGACATACCACGTGAAGCCAGTATGAAGAAAACATCACATTTTTCTCATAAATTGTACAAGCACACAGATATCATATGGCGAAAAGGAAGCTGTTTGAACTAAGATATGAAATCAGTACTTAGGTGAGATAAAGCTGTGTGTGACAGATGGGGAAATCACAACAAAGACATGCAAAATGTGTAAAGTGACATAATAAAACAATTTAGGATAAGTTAATTAAGATAATTATTATGCACATAACAAATCTGGATATCATCTTGAATCTTGATCTCTTGAATTTTTAGTTGCACTTTCTAAGAAAGGAAAATTGCTCTGTCTTCTTACGAAAGAATCTTCCTTTCATTTACCTCTATATTTACATCATGGGCCTTAAGGGATAACGTATCACAGAGCAAGAGGTCACGCACATTTTAAATGTTTATTTTTAAATGTACCATAAAATCCATAGCAGAACAGTACTCCTGTTAACCTCATCACAAATACTAAATAAGACACATTACCACCAATAACAAAGGCTTGCTCCATATTTTCCAACATTTTTTGCAGTCCATATCCACTGAAAGAGACTCATCAGAGTACATTCATCAGAAAACTCTTCCTTTGGCAGTACAGGTTCTAGGACAGAATAAATAAATTACTAAAAAAATGGTATAACAAGGTTACTTCTACCTTGTTAGTGGTGGCAGATGCTTTTAATTTCACCATTAGGAGGCAGAGGCAGGTGAATCTCTGTGAGTATGAGGACAGTCTGGTCTACAAGAACTAGTTCCAGGACAGGATCCAAATCTACAGAGAAATCCTGTCTTGAAAAACCAAAAACCTAAAAAGAAAAGAAGAAGGTCACTTGTCACTTTCTATTTGCTTCTAAGGTAATCAACAACAGATAATGAAAGCACAGGGTTTGGTCAAATATTCTGTACCTGCCACTGATGCAGCATAGTCCCCATTGTATATGCTGAGGGGAATTTAACTGCTCCAGAGATGAATCTGATTTCCCTGCATGAACTTTGTAATACCATGTCCAGTGTGCAACCAAAAATTCTGAATTTGTGAGTCCTCTTGAATCAATAATGCATGTCACACTGTGAATCACCTAATAAATTTCCATATATTTCTAAAGGCATTAATATATAGATTGATGAGACTGTCATGGAATAAAATTTTCTCAACGTGGCATCTTACCAGCAGCTTTAATTTTTACAAAGATGAATGATGCTATGAAAGTACCTGAACCAATCTAGTACAGTTGTCAACAAAATTTAATAAAATGGACTGCTAAAATCATGTGCAGGTACCCAGAGAAGAGTGTCAAAACTTCTCAAGAAATGAGGAAACACCTTAAAAAAATCAGCCGGGCGGTGGTGGCGCACGCCTTTAATCCCAGCACTTGGGAGGCAGAGGCAGGCGGATCTTTGTGAGTTCGAGACCAGCCTGGTCTACAAGAGCTAGTTCCAGGACAGGCTCCAAAAACCACAGAGAAACCCTGTCTCGAAAAACCAAGAAAAAAAATCAGGAATGCACAAGTATATATCTTTGTCCACAGCAATAAAAGCAAGTGGGGTACATGGACGTCCATTTGAAGTGCCTATATAAATGGCAAATCACAATTCACACTGATCAGTCATACACCTTGACAAATACAATTTTCCTGAAAGCATTCTACTTCCTATTGGGCAGTTTCATTCATTCAACTTGCATTTGGAGAAAAGGCAGAATGAAGTAGAGGATGGAATCTTGGTGGCAATTTTTGTCTGCTCACTTGCAGCAGTATATTTATTGGCCAGTAGAAAAGAGAATCTTAGCAACATTTAGAATATACAGTAAGTCTCTTTGTATTTTCTATGAAAATGACATCATGCATATTTACATAGCTAGAGGATTAAGAACAGAGCAATATGTTGAAACTTCTATCCTGTTTTCCCAATTTCCACATCAAAAATAAACCCAAAATATTTTTGGAGAATCAATGCTATTTTTCTACTTATAATTTACCCAGAGTGTTCTGTTTTTATCTCAGTTACCCTTGAAATTACAAGGCTGAAATCTGAGTGAAGAAAAGAATTTCTACTTTGTTCCATCATATATAGCCCTTCTCTTCTCAGTTTGCATAGCAAAATAGTAGGTGATGACTTATGAAATGAAGCCCCATTCTATTTTGATTAGTAACATTCTAAGTTGGTACAAGAAAATGACCATAGAGTACAATGTGTAGTAGGTCCTAAAGCATGTGTCAGGACAACTAATATTTGTGGCACATCTAGATGCATAGGTTTTTCATATAGATACACTGTAATTCTCTTGAATGCTCTGTACATGGTCATACTCTATCTTCTGAAGCTGCATCAAGAATGGAAATAGCAAAGCTTTACATTGTGAACATCATATGTGTCCCTATTTCACTGTACTTTGCTTACATACATGTAAACCACTGCCCTTTAATTTCAAAGTTCAGTTCTTTACTTCATTCTGAGAAAAATGAATTATGGAGTGTAAATTTTTCTCTTTATTTTTTTTAAAGAAAAGAAATTGTCTTTTTCATTATACATACCAATCTAAGTGTGAGGTTATCTGTTGTATATGTTTTTGTGGGAACAGTTAGATTCTTTGGGTGGGAATTTTCTTTCTAGTACTTTTTGTAGGGCTGGATTTGTAGATAGGTATTGTTAAAAACTGATTTTTGCCATGACATATCTTGTTTTCTCAATACTAGACCCTTTCATCTTAAAGGTCTTGGAGAGATCAGAAGTACAAGGAATATATCTAAACATAATAAAAGCTTTATACAACAAACCAACCACCAATATCAACTTAAATCGAGATAAACTCAAGGCAATTCCAATAAAATAAAGAACAAGATAAGGCTGTTCACTCTCTCTCCATATCTATTCAACATAGTTCTTGAAGTTTTGGCTATAGAGATGTTTGCATTCTTTGATAAGTAAGGCTGTAACTTCCCTTGTCACTTGTATGAGTGACAGTTGTGGTATGTGTTATTGATAACACTTGAGAATGGTAACAGAGGAAGGAGTTACATACTAAGTTATCTTTACCATTATTTGAGAAGCATGTGTCTTCTCTCTTTATATCCAAATTGTTTCTTATGTGACATTCATATTCCATTAACCTCTTATTTTTGCTTTGAGTATTTTTATTAATTAGAGCTGCATGTTTTACCAATGGGCACTATACACATTTTGATTTTATGAATTATTGATAGTTGTTTTCAAACACAGCAGTTTAGGTAAGTGAATCACTCTAACTCATGAAGAGACTGATGTTTATTAATGTTTGGTGAGCAGGTATTAGTGTTTGAGCTTCAAAAGATCTAGTCTCAAATGACTGCTAGGTGTTACTAGAAGTTTCAATGAAACTATTTCTGTGTTGTAATAGAGAATATTCCAAAATTATTTTTATTTTAAAATGTATGGAAAAATACATAAGGACATCATAGTGGTGCAATTTCTAAGTGAGAAACAGATTCTATTTAACTCTGAGTGAATCATTCAGAATGAATAATATGTTTGATGTTTATTGGTCAGATGATATTAAATGACTAGAAAGAGACAGAAGTTTTTATTCTTTGCAAAAACATATAAACACAAATTGGTATTATTCACTCCCAATTTACTTGTTACCAAATTTTATTACAAAACCCTCATAAATATTTTCCTTACATTTTAAAATTTGTAGTCTTCTATTTTACTAAGATGTAATACTGACATATACATATTCCAGTAGGATGCTATTGTTCTTAAGGGTATGTATAGGTATTCAAAGACTGCTTTCTAAAATAAAAGGTACGTTGGTCAGATATACCCCATATACCCAGTGTGAATATATTACATTTCTTTTCAAACTCAAATAGGTGAACAATAATAAGCAGGTAGTTCATGACCTTAATATCTGCACTAAGGAATTGGAGCAGATGTATATCTGTATATTTGAGGCCAGCCTACTCTATAGCAAAGTATCATTCAAAACCTTGGAATCCATTCCCTGTTTATGGCCCACAGAAGCATTAATCCTGTCTATATACATTAGTGAATACATACATAGGCCTCTCCCACTTACATCTCTGGTATTTGAATTTATTTAAAAATAAATCTTAAAAAGAAAGATTTTACACCTGTGTTTAATAAACCTGAAAATAAAAGAACAATACAAAGATCAACATGAGGCTACAGAGTCCACTAATGGTGATGGGAATGAACTGATCAACATGAGGCTACAGAGTCCACTAATGGTGATGAACTGATCAGCATGAGGCTACAGAGTCCACTAATGGTGATGAACTGATCAGCATGAGGCTACACAGTCCACTAATGGTGATGAACTGATCAGCATGAGGCTACACAGTCCACTAATGGTGATGGGAATGAACTGATCAACATGAGGCTACACAGTCCACTAATGGTAATGAACTGATCAGCATGAGGCTACACAGTCCACTAATGGCAATAGTAATGAACTGAGAGCACAAGAGCCAACATTGTTCAGACTATTGTGCACTCATCAGGCATTACTCGACTTCATAGCCAATTCGTAATGATAGACCATAAACTTATTGACTCACAAATCACATGAATTTTTCACAATGTTTGATGATTTTAAAATTAATGCATTAATAGATTTACTGTTTGGTCAAGGCCTGTGCCATTGTCTTTATCTTTATCTCAAAAACCAGAGATGGACAGCACACTGTTTTGTAGATGCTGATGTCTCATCTTATTTATTGGAGATTCACTCTGATGAACTTTTAAAGTTTTTGCAAACTTCCAGGTCCTTATGCCATTCCAATCTCACAGCATAGGCCGTTTGTTTCAGTATTTAAGGGTGGTTTTGCGTACCATCCAGCTTAGGATATTCCTTCTATTGACTACTCAGCATCATCTGTAGATCTCTGTCCATACTAATCACTATACCCATTTACAGACCACCAACTGAAAACATCAAGTTTGCACTGGCCTTAGCTTTTTCCATTGATGAACTCAAAAGGAACCCTGATCTTTTACCAAATACATCATTAGTGTTTGAATTCCAAGAAGGTGGTTGTAAGACTATGTCACAATTATACAGTCACTTGCATTTTTCTGAAGAACATAATGATATTTCTCCTAATTATATCTGTGAGAAAGATACTACATGTATAGTGTTGCTTACAGGACCAAACTGGGAAACATCTGCAATGGCTGGGATATTCATAAGTCTCTACATATCTCAACAGGTGAGATTTTGTGTTGTGGATTTGCAAAAAAAAAAAATCTGTCTCTGTTGTTACAATTCCTAGAAGCAAAGAAGATTGTGAGGAGGATACTAGCTTCATGTTTTGTTAAACAGTGTAGAGACTTCTTGGGGATTCATTTCCTTTTTTGAAATTGAGATGAGGGAATAAGTAATAGGTAAGGGGGTTTTGAGGAACTCTTTGCAGAAAGTGTTTTTGCAAGCTTTTGTATATATATATATATATATATATATATATATATATATATATATATTCCCTATATCCTAGATCCTTCAACTTACCTATGGACCTTTCCATCCGCTCCTGAGCAATCGTGAACAATTTCCCTCTGTGTATCAGATGGCCCCTAAGGACACATCTCTAGCCCTGGCAATTGTCTCTTTAATACTTCACTTCAACTGGAACTGGATTGGACTGGCCGTCTCAGACAATGATCAGGGTACCCAATTTCTCTCACTTTTGAGAAGAGAGATGGAACAAAACAAGATTTGCTTTGCCTTTGTTAATATTATCCCAGTCAAAATGAATTTATACTTGCCAAGAGCTGAAGTGTATTATAACCAAATCATGACATCATCCACAAATGTAGTAATCATTTATGGTTACACAGACAGTACACTAGCTATGGGTTTTAGATTGTGGGAATCTCTAGGTGTACAGAAAATATGGATTACCACCTCACAGTGGGATGTCACTACAAATAATAAAGACTTCACAATTAATTCATCCTACAGGACACTAGCTTTTGCACACCATCATGCTGAGATTTCTAGCTTTAAATTTTTTCTCCAGACATTGAACCCTCTCAAATACTCAGAAGAATACCTGGCAACACTGGAGTGGATGAAGTTGAACTGCGAAGTCACAGCTTATAAGTGTAAGACCATGAAGAATTGCTTATCCAATGCCTCATTGCAATGGTTAAAGGTACAGACTTTAGACATGGCCTTTAGCGATAACAGTTATGACATATATAACGCTGTGTATACTTTGGCCTATGCTCTCCATGATATGCTTCTTCAACAAGTACATAATCAGCCAATGGATAATATGAAAGGAACTTATAATCACTGCTTGAAGGTAGTGTTTCTGTTTTTTTTTTGATGAGATGTGATGCCTTCTATGCCATAATCTTTAAGTGTCTTTCAAATGACCTAATTTACTGGATTAGTAAATACTTCATAAAATAAAAATATTTCTGGATATTTTTCCTGGTAAAGATGTAAATCTAGATATTGGTATAAAGCATAATGTTAAAGCAATGGAGTGGAAGACACAATTTATTAAGAAAGAAAACTGATTTTGTTACAGAGTCCCTGAATATCATCACACCTATTCTAATACTGTGAACGTAATAGTCCCTCCTCATTCTTCCTGACAATCATGAGAAGATGAATCCTTGTTCATTTCTCATCAAATATGTGGTAATCAATATATTACATGGTTTAAACACATGTTATCAACTGCTTCACTCACACTGTAGGCTACAGGGCCCTCATTTTGCATTCTTAGTGAGAGTAATTGTACAAGAAAGAGTGCTATTCCTCAATTAGGACACATAATGTGTATCTATGTGTGTGAATGTATGGTTCTCAGTTTGTATAGGTATATGTTTGTATGTTTCTGTGTATCTGGAGTATATCTGTGTTGCTGTGTATATTTGTGCTTCAGTCTATCTGTAGTCTGTCTGTGTAATTGAATATCAAGTTGTCTTCTTTCAACATCTTTCTTTATTGGTGTTTCTTCCTGTGAATATTGTCTTGTGTGTGTTTCTTTCAGTGCCTATGTTTACATGTGTCTGTATTGTGCATTGCTTGAGCATATGTATATCTCTGTTTCTCTCTCTCTCTCTCTCTCTCTCTCTCTCTCTCTCTCTGTGTGTGTGTGTGTGTGTGTGCGTGTGAGTGTGTGTGTGTCTGTGTGTGTCTGTGTGTGTATGTCTATCTCTCTGTCAACCTCTCCTTGGATGTGAGTGTAAACCTGTCTATGTCAATGTCTCTGGGAATGTATTTCTTTTTGTGCCTGTCTCTCTTTGTGTATTTGTCCATGAATATGTGCATGTGTGTGTGTGGCCCTTTGTATGTGTTTTACAGGTTTCTGGTTCCATTGGTCTCTTTGAACGGACATGTTTGCCTGTGTGTGACTTCATTTTCATGTGTGTGTCTTGGCAGGTATTGACATACTAAATGTATGTAGATTTATTATTTGTGTCTATATGGATATTTGTCTCTCTCTGTATGTGTGTGTGTACTTATCATATTAGTGTTTGATGTCTGTAGATATGTCTGTGTTTCTGTTTTGTACTTTTCTCTGAAAGAATTTAAATTCTAGGAATATTATGGTAATTTTATTAGTCCATTTGGTTTATTATTTCTCTCCTGGTAGCATTCAATAATATTGACTTTAAGATATTTAAGGGCATGTATACTATAAAGTGATGTGTCTCTTTCAGCTGCACTCCTTTCTGAGGAAGACCGAGTTCACTAATCCTGTTGGAGACAGAGTGAATATGAAACAGAAAGAAAAAGTCCAGGAAAAGTATGATATTTTTCAGGTTTGGAATTTCCCATATGGTCTTGGACTTAAGGTGAAGATAGGAGAGTTTAGCACATATTTTCCACATGATCAACAGCTGCGTTTATATGAAGACATGATAGAGCAGTCAACAGGAAGTAGACAGGTGGGTCTAAACTAACTATACTCATTTCCATTACAAAGTAGTAACACTATCAAAGGGGTTTATTTGTGCTGTCTTTGCAACCTAGTACAAAGAAATATATTGTCACATTAGACAACATATTCTAGCCTCGTACTTTATGCTTCTACTTTTCTCTTTTTAATATGACATTTTATTCATTCTTAGATGATTTCAGAAATGCATACATTGAATTTTATTATTTCAGAACATGTTTCTGGGTTTAGTATAAAAAAACTGATTGTTACCACTATTCTGTATTATTTCCAGTAAAGTGAGCCATATTCTTTTGGTGCTTTTCTGATTACTACAAATTTTTTTTTGAACCTTAGACACAAGTGCTGAAAGGCTGAGGCTAATTGTGATGGAGAAGCAAAGTCAACACACAGAAATCATTAATTCTTATTATATAATTTGCTTTAAGTCTTTTTATGAACAAATCCTAAATTGCTAACATCTCTAACCATACATCAAGATGATACCTACATGACCCATTTAGATAACCTATGATTCATGTCTTTGTTCTTTCTTTCCATCTTTCTTTTTTCTTTTAAGTGTGTATGGGTGTTTTGTCTTTGTATGTGGCTGTGCAACACTCATATGTGTGGTGCATATGAATACTAACACAGTAATTTGGATCTGTGGGAATTGGAGACAGCTTAGTGGCATACAATGTGTGCTAAGAAAAAAACTTGGGCCTTGTACATAAATGCCAATTGTTATTGACACTTGAGCCATTTCTTCAGCCCTGAAACATATCCTGTTAAAGAAATTGCTCACTAGAGGAACATTGCTAGGTCCCATAAATTCTTTCAGATTTCACTTAAACTAACAAATGTGTGTCTAGTTTCCTAACTGTGTAGGGAGGAGGTATTGGTATCAAAAGACATGAATTATGAACATTTATAATGATGAATTCCATTATGGGTCTAGGGATTATTATAGGTGTGAATTTATCTGATGTGGCTGGTTTCAAGGGTCAAATTTCTCTGGTATAAAGTGACATGAAATTTCAAGGAGTTAAGTTTAGGAAATTCATAAAGCTTAATCTGAAGTTTTATCTCAGGTGGTTAATATACTATAAAATCTACAAAAATATTCTTTCTCAGAGTGAGAAGGAGCACTCTCAGTGAAAAGGACATATGGGTTCAATGTATAGTTACTTAATTATATATCCATTTAAGGAGCAGCAATGCGTATTTCTCGCGTGCTTTTACCGAGTCTCGCTTGAGCATAACAGAAACATCCACAGGGATGATACAGAAGACTAAGAACACTGCAACCGGCGCTCTACTCCCAGATATGCAAATCAGAATTAAATAACAAATAAAAATATAACGGCAACAAAATCACAACCCCGAATGTCATAGTTATAGAATAATTTGAGATTATATTCAATGACATACTAAAAAAAGAATTCAAAAGATTCTTACAGAGTAAGTTCCAAAACAAAACAAAAAAAATGAGGGAAAGATAGAAGAAAAAGCCATGCTTTTAAATGACATCATTAAATATGCTAAAAGATATATATCTTTTTCTGGATCATAAGGTGGTAAGACAATTTTTTTTTAATTTATATTTTTACTTAAAATTTCCACCTTCTCCCCTCTTCCCATTCCCCCCCATATCCTCCTCCCCCTCCCTCTCCAGTTCAAAGAGCAGTCAGGGTTCCCTGCCCTGTGGGAAGTCCAAGGTCCTCCCCCCTCCATCCAGGTCTAGGAAGGTGAGCATACAAACAAACTAGGCACCCACAATGCCAGTATATGCAGTAGGATCAAATCCCAGTGCCATAGTCCTTGGCTTCTCAGTCAGCCCTCCTTGTCAGTCACGTTCAGAGAGTCTGGCTTGATCACAAACTCCATCAGTCTCAGTCCAGCTGGCCTTGGTGAGATCCCATTAGATCAGTCTCACCATCTCAGTGGGTGGGCGCATCCCTGGCAGTCCTGACTTCCTTGCTCATGTCCCCCCTTTTTCTGCTCCTCATTTGGACCTTGGGAGCTCAGTCCGGTGCTCCAATGTGGGTCTCTGTCTCTAGCTTCATCCATTGCCAGATGAAGGTTCTATGGTGATATGCAAGATATTCATCAGTATGGCTATAGGATAGGGCCAGTTCAGGCTCCCTCTCCTCAACTGCCCAAGGATCTAGCTGGTGACATCTCCATGGACACCTGGGGACACCTCTAGAGTCAAGTCTCTTGCCAACCCTAAAATGGCTCCCTTAATTAAGATATATATTTCCCTGCTCTCATATCCACTCTTCCTCCATCCCAACCGTCCCATTCCCTCAAGCACTCCCCATCCCCCCTTCTCACTTTTTTCTCCCCATATCCCCTTGCCCCACCCCACCCCCACCCCCAAGTTTTAAATTTTTGCCTGGCAATCTTGTCTCCTTCCAATATTCAGGAGGATAACTATATGTTTTTCCCCTTTTGTGTTCACCTTCTTATTTAGCTTCTCTAGGATCACGGATTATAGGCTCAATGTCCTTTATTTATGGCTAGAAACCAAATATGAGTGAGTACATAACATATTCATCTTTTTGGGTCTGGGTTACCTCACTCAGGATAGTGTTTTCTATTTCCATCCATTTGCATGCAAAATTCAAGAAGTCATTTTTTTTAACCGCTGAGTAGTACTCTAATGTGTATATATTCCACATTTTCTTCATCCATTCTTCCATTGAAGGGCATCTAGGGTGTTTCCAGGTTCTGGCTATTACAAATAATGTTGCTATGAACATAGTTGAACAAATACTTTTATAATATGATAGGGCATCTCTTGGGTATATTCCCAGGAGTGGTATTGCTGGGTCCTGGGGTAGGTTGATCCTTAATTTCCTGAGAAACCGCCACACTGATTTCCAAAGTGGTTGCACAAGATTGCATTCCCACCAGCAATGGATGAGTGTACCTGTTCCTCCACAGCCTCTCCAGCAAAGGCTATCATTGGTGTTTTTGATTTTAGCCATTCTGACAGGTGTAAGATGATATCTCAAAGTTGTTTTTTTTTATTGCGAAAAGAAGAAAAAAAAACATAAACAAAAAACAAGTTTCCACCTCCTCCCAGCCTCCCATTTCCCTTCCCCTCCTCCCACCCTTCTCCCCCTCCTCCCACCCTTCTCCCCCTCCTCCCACCCTTCTCCCCCTCCCCCTACTCCTCTCCCCCTCCCTCTCCAGTCCACAGAGCAGTCCGGGTTCCCTGCCCTGTGTTAAGTCCTAGGTCCTCCCCCCTCCGTCCATATCTAGGAAGGTGAACATCCAAACTGGCTAGGCTCCCACAAAGCCAGCACATTAAGTAGGATCAAAACCCCCTGCCATTGTCCTTGGTGTCTCATCAGCCCTCATTGTTCGCCATGTTCAGAGAGTCCGGTTTTATCCCATGCTTTTTCGGTCACAGTCCAGCTGGCCTTGGTGAGCTCCCAGTAGATCAGCTCCTCTGTCTCAGTGGGTGGATGCACGCCTCGTGGTCCCGAATTCTTGCTCATGTTCTCCCTCCTTCTGCTCCTCCTTGGGACCTTGGGAGCTCAGTCCAGTGCTCCTGTGTGGGTCACTGTCTCGATCTCTATCCATCACCAGATGAAGATTCTATGATGATATGCAAGATATTCGTCAGTATTGCTCTAGGATAGGGTCATTTCAGGTTCCCAATCCTCAGCTGCCCAAGGAACTAACTGGGAACCTCATCTTGGGCACTAGGGAGCCCCTCTAGGGTCAAGTCGCTTGCCCACCCTAAAGTGGCTCCCTTAACTAAGAATTGTGGTTCCGTGCTCCGCTATCCACCTTTCCTTTATCCCAATTCTCCCGTTTCCCAGGTCCCCCCTCCTTCCCTTCTACCTTTTCTCTCCCCATCTCCCCTTACCCCCATCCCACCCCCCCCCCAAGATCCCATTTTCTCCCCGGAAATTTGGTCTACTTCCCTTAGCGAAGAGGACAACTATATGTTTTTCCTTCGGTTCACCTTCTTCCTTAGCTTCTTTAGGTTCACCTATTGTAGACTCCTTGGTCCTTATTTATGGCTAGAAACCAATTATGAGTGAGTACATCCCATATTCATCTTTTTGGGTCTGGGACACCTCACTCAGGATAGTGTTTTCTATTTCCATCCATTTGCATGCAAAATTCGAGAAGTCATTGTTTTTTACCGCAGCGTAGTACTCTAGCGTGTATATATTCCATACTTTCTTCATCCATTCTTCCATTGAAGGGCATCTAGGTTGTTTCCAGGTTCTGGCTATTACAAATAATACTGCTATGAACATAGTTGAACAAATGCTTTTGTCATTTGATAGAGCATCTCTTGGGTATATTCCCAAGAGTGGTATTGCTGGGTCCAGGGGTAAGTTGATCCCGAATTTCCTGAGAAACCGAAACACTGACTTCCACAGTGGTTGCACAAGATTGCATTCCCACCAGCAATGGATGAGGGTACCCCTTCCTCCACAACCTCTCCAGCAAAGGTTATCGTTGGTGTTTTTGACTTTAGCCATTCTCACAGGTGTAAGATGATATCTCAAAGTTGTTTTGATTTGCATTTCCCTAATCGCTAAGGAGGTTGAGCATGACCTTAAGTGTCTTTTGGCCATTTGAACTTCTTCTGTTGAGAATTCTCTGTTCAGTTCAGTGCCCCATTTTTTAATTGGATTAATTAGCATTTTAAGGTCTAGTTTCTTGAGTTCTTTATATATTTTGGAAATCAGACCTTTTGTCTGTTGCGGGATTGGTGAAGATCTTCTCCCAGTCAGTAGGTTGTCTTTTTGTCTTAATGACAGTGTCCTTTGCTTTACAAAAGTTTCTCAGTTTTAGGAGGTCCCATTTATTCAATGTTGTCCTTATGGTCTGTACTACTGGGGTTATACGTAGGAAGTGGTCTCCTGTGTCCATGTGTTGTAAAGTACTTCCCACTTTCTCTTCTATCAGGTTCAGTGTGTTCAGATTGATATTGAGGGGTAAGACACAATTTTAATCTAGGTCATGTGATCTTGAAAA